ACACTGTTTGTCACGGCATTGCTGTCATGGCATTGTCGTTAAACTTCATCGTCCTTTCCTGAACATTTAGTACCCAGTTAAGCCTCTGTTGCTTAAATTTGATGAAGTGTATGCTTACATAAATATTGTCTGTAGAGTTTGTGTTTTAAAATTAAAACCAATTAATTGGCCCAAAAATGCTGGTATTTTTTTTTGGGGGGGGGGTCATTTACTTGAGCATTATGTCCACATAACATGAATAATATATGCCATATCAAGTATCCATCTAATTCATACTTAATCAAATATTTATCAGAAATTGGCTGATTTACAGTTTCATACATGTACAGGCAAATTCACAAAATTAATGCATCAGTTTGTCCTAATTTCAGTATGATTTACTGTTTCAGACAAATTTTTGGTTATTAGAGTGTTCAGGAAAGAACACTTTTTTAAACAAGTTTAAAACCATCTACATGTACCTACACGAGTTTTAAACATAACATTCTGTTCACAGCCATTTCATTGGTTTTACCATAGAGCTGTGTGATTTTATCTATGAAAAATGGAACAATTCAGCTTATCATGCACGGATCATGTGCTGATCACTCTTCTGTTTTAATTTTTTACATTTTAAAGCATCCTTCCAGGATACATGTGTAGCTTTCACCATGTAGATGTATGCATGCACTGTGGACACCAAATGTACAGTACATGTATGAGCCAAAGTGCACTGTTAAACAAGCAACCTTAACATGGCAGAGAAACTACACGTTAAATTTAACTGGGGCCTCAGGAAGAGAAAGAAATGTCTGAAGAAGGAGCTTTGCAGGACAATTGTGTATTTAAACAAACTGAAGGAAGAAAACCCAGTGATGTACAATGTACATGTACATGTATGAAGAACACAAAGCAAAGGAGAGAAAGGCGAAAAGCTATGAAAGTTTATGGCAGAAGTAAACCTGCTGAGGTTCATATTCTTTAAAATGATAAGCGCAAATAATTTGTTCCTGTACAGTTTACATGTATGTATTCATACGTATGCATTTCTTTGTAGGGGCTACCATAGACCAACATCAGTACTCGTGCCACTGTTTTAAAGTTGTGATTTTACCATCACATGATTAGTAAATCATCCTACTGATAGCCACAATGGCCATAATTACTTCAGTCTACATGTACTTCATTATTACATCTATACATGTACACTGTAAGAGAAGGACAGTATCATTCTACACCTTGTTAAATATTGTGTCCATTCCTGAATACATGTACACAGCAGCTAGCTAGAGCATAACAAGTTACAAAATTATCTGCCTCACAAATATATAACTCCCAACTTCTTAAAACCATTATTCTCGAACACATATTTTACTCAAGTGTGTTTTTGGTATTTCAATATCTGAAGTTTGTTGATTTATACGTGCATAGTACAGTGTTCTAGCTAGGACCATTTTAGTGCCGGGTAAATTTTTGGATTATCAAGCGTAGTGAGTGGAACTCTCACAGCCCATACATGTACATGTAGCTGGGTTTTTAGGGGAATACCAGAAGGGATTTCCCCCACGTCATTCTGAAGGCATGTTTACAATAATGCTTTTGCAATCAGCTGCTGATTTGTGAGAAATATATTTCTTAGGTCTTTACTTACTTGTTTAAATTGTAAAATAGTGCAAAACTACAATTTTGTAAGCTTGAAATATGATCAAATTGGTACATTTTTAGCAATATTTCAGTTAATTATTTGGAAAATCTGTGCTGGGCAGCACAGCCAATTTGAACCCAAGAGCTGGGCGGAAATTTACAGTACCAGTTGGTGCCGCCCGGCGGCACCTATCGTGGCTAGAACGCTGGCATAGAATATAAATATGTGGACCATATCACACATGTTTACTACTTTTATTTTGCACTTCATAGCAAAACATGTTCAAGTGTTTATACTGGTCCTGTCTGTCCATCTAATTAGCTTTATGATAAAATTTCTCAAAATATTGCTTTATAAGATCAAACTTGATGGAAGGTAGCATTACGTTAAAATTGTGTCCTTTCCTGAACAAAATGAACCGTTTTCATAGCATCAAGAGAGGCCACCATAACTCTTGAATGCAGTAACCTAGGAAAACAATTCTTTGACTGCTGTTCTCCCATATACATGTATGTACATGTAGCCCCTGGACAAAGGAGAACATACTGAGCAGGATGCATGATTGTCTGAATCAGCAGAAATGACAGGTGGTGTTTTAAGAAAAAAAGAGAGTAAAAAACTTAATTTTCCCAAAATATCAGAAAAAATGCATTGTGTTTTACGGCATAACTTGCATTAGCGTTGAAGACATGACTATTGTGGTGGCTGTCAACCAGTTCAAAGCAACTTCAAATATGTCTGGAATGTGGAAATAGCAGTTTATGATACCTTCAGTTGACAAAGTTTATGAAATGCCAAATGCAAAGTGTCTTGAAATTAAAACAGGAAAAGGTTTAAGCCTTGAAATTAACATTTTCTGTTACCTTTATTCATACACTTACAATAGCCAAACACGGTTTATTGATATAACAAGTTTCATTTCTGACCCCCCGTGAGACTTTTTTGCAACCTTTCCCGTGAAACTGCCCCAAATATCCCACAAGTTTGAAATTGCCAGGACAAACACAGATTCTCCTTTCACCTCAAACTTCATCCGCAGGGGTGATCATCTGACAAAACTGTACTCAAGAGCAGGAATGTCCGTAACGCTGGCTGAGTACTTATTGGACTAGCTGCAGGTTTGCCTGATTGAGAACCCTCAATCTATGGAGGATGCACTCCATCAGGAATGTGCTGAGGAGGTTGTTCATTGCCGTGAGCACTTGATGAAGGTGCTGGTGAAATGACAAAACTATCTGCTGTTGGTGCCTCTTTTAAATCTGTGTCAGGCAGGAAAAAGTTCAGTGGCACTGGGTACGCCATTGGGGTTCTAGATGACTCTTCAGTGCTATCTGGGATTTCCCCACAGGGAGACGAAAGTTGTTTAGAGGATGGGTTTTCCCCAACATCACAAACTTCCTCACAAGAAGGTGGAGGATATTATGGGATTATAAGCATGGTTCACCCACTTGTGGCAGAGGAACAAACTCAGGGGCCTCTGCATTAAAGTGAGGACTGCAGCAGTTGTTTGGGGATGACTACAACCAGCTCATCATCACTGGAATCTGGACTTCCAGACAAATCAGATGGACATTGTGAAACCTTTGCCTTACCTGTGGCTCTCGTTACGGGACAATTTGGTTTGGTGCCTGAATGGTGGGACTCTTTGCCATTAAGATAGTCAGTGGGTAAAAGGATATTTCTGTGCAGGGTTCGGACACACCCATCACTGCTGGTTTGACACGATAGACTGGCATGTCTGGACTAATCCGATCTACAGTTAAGTGAACTGTTGAATCCCATTGATTGGGATCTTGTGCTTTCCTTTCAGACCAAGATTTCTGACTAGAACACGATCTCCAGGTGTCCAGTCATTTCCTTGCACACGTCCATCATGACGTACTTTGTTAGCATACATGTACATGTAAGCTGACTTAGCTGACTCTTTGGTTGCCAGCTAATATGCCCTCGCCAGTTGTTCTCTTAGGCCCTTGACATATTGGACATGGTCACTATGGGAAAACCCATCTAGGCTCACACCAAGACGCAAATCCACCGGGAGTCTCACCTCTCTGCCAAACATAAGGAAATAAGGCGAGAAAGCTACATGTACATGTATGCTGTCATGCCTAGTGCAATTGTACTGCATGCATGAACCAATGCACCTACGTGCTTACTCCAGTTGGCTTTCTTCTCATTGTCTATTCAGCAAAGTATGGTTGAATCGCTCTGGCTTTGCATCAGCCCACTAATGCAAAGCTTCCAGGCTCTTTTGGATTTTGCTCAATGTTACATACATGTACATGTAACTCTGCCCCTTGCAAATCGTCAGGCTATCAACATACATGTGTTTCTAAACGTGGATATATCTGAATTCTTATATTTATTCAAAGCACTGTTAAGCATGCAGAGAAATATAATCAGAGCTAAAATGGCCCCCTGTGAAACCCCTTCCAAATGCATTATCCAATCAAATAAGTTTGTACATGTATTTGACACATTGCTTCCTACCAGAGATACCTGTTACGTCAACCACCCAGCGCACAATAGGAGACCACCCAGATCAATTAGATTGGCATAAGCGATGTGAGCGATAACATAAAATGCCTTTGAGAAATCAGTTTGTACCAATGTGTTAATGTTGCCTGATTTCTCAGCTGACAACATCAGTTCATCAGTCCTTTCTTGTTCCTATACTGTGTACTACATGTATCAATGTGACGCTGAATTGGATTCAACACAAATCAGGCAATACTGTTTTCAGCAGTTTTAGCCAAAACTACAAGTCAATGAGATTGGCCTCAATTTATCAAGTGAGGGTGGTGTCTGTTACGTGTAGGTACTGGGATTACATTAGCAAGTTTGTACTGACTTGGAACAAACCCCTTGTTCAGTGATATTAATAATTTTGGTAACCGGGTTGCTGAGCTCACATACAAATTCTTTTATCACTCTCTGAGGAATGTTATCCGGCTCTCTTGCCTTGGAAATAGACACTGCCTTCAGTTTCTTATAAGTATCCCAGACTTGGAATTGAGGAGGTGCTTCAGGACTTGGGAACTGAGCCAGTAATTGATTTGACTTGCATGTATTGTTTACTGTACCCTTTAGAAACTGGCAAAAGTTGATTAACTGCATCAGCAACAGCATCATGGTTACCTGATTCAATTCCTGATACTGATATCGGCCTTGTGATCTAATTTCCTCATGCCATTTCCCATTTATAGTTTCCCTCAAACTTGTCTTTGTCTCTGTCAAACCAATTAAAACAAGCCATCAAACTCACTGATGTGCTAATAATATCAAGATAGTGTACCAAAATAAAATGAAATTTATAACTACTGTACATGTATACGAGATGTAGATGTAACGAGGCGTTATTTTTTTCCTTGCATAGGCCATATATGCAAAAACAGCTGAGTCAGGGTAAAACTCTGGTGGTTGACAGATATTCTTACTCTGGTGTTGCATTCACAGCAGCGAAACAAGTAAGTGAAGTTCATTAAACCTTACATTGTTCATCTACAGTATAGGCCTTTTCACACAAACGGCTTGAAACACGCATCTGCAATGTTTGGCACTGAGTATCTCCCAAGGGTCGCCTGCGATTTCATCACAAGCTTCACCATAATGTACATCTAGCATGTTAGCAAACATCCGTTTTGCAGGGTTGACGTTTGCGTCACTGGTACTGCAATATTCTTTGAATGTATGGATTACTGGTGAACTTCCAGCCATGATATACATGTACAGGAATGCTTTCTGTACATGTAAGTTTCCACAAACATTTGTGTAAAAATTCCGCAATGAAAAAACTTTGCCTGTCGACAGCTGCCTTAGCTTTGTGCCTCCTTACAAAAAGTCTTATAGGAATCCAACAGGACTGTACTGAATCCTATAGGAGTCCAAAAGGACATGTGAAGGACTGCAGTAATTTCTATAGGATCTGTTAAAGGAACCAGGAAATGAATTTTTCATATGATAACTTTTAGTGTATCTCTGTACTCTTCTTCCATGTATGAAGACTGTTTGACAATTTTTTTGAGTTACCTGAACTGAACGGAGCACTTTTTCAAACATTAATAATTGACCAAGCATTTCTGGACAAGTGAGGGCACTTTTCCTTTATTGTAAATCCAGGAAGACATGGTTCAGGTTGCATGTTTTCATGTTCAAATTGTGAACCCCAAATCTGGGAGCATTTCTGTGCAAAGAATTTTTGCTGGATTATTGCCATACACTTACACTGCAATAAATTGCCAAAGAAAATAAAATCTGTCATAGAAGCAGTTAAAAAATCTAGAATTGTTCTGTGCACAAATCAGTGCAACATTGAGATTCAGTGCCTTGGATGACATCATAGTTCTGGTAATGAATATGCAAATAGCATTAGCATAAAAAAACAAAAAAATCAAAATCTACTGCACTCTACCTACCCAAACAGTCACTACATACGCAAATTTCCCATGCGCGCATGGGCATTCACTGAATAAGACTTTATCATCCGAGATGCTCTATGACCTCCCACTATGCACTGCGGTCTCGCCACCATGATCGTCCTTTTCGCAACGCCGTATCGCAACTGATGTGTCATTTAGACATCTTCAAATTTTTCGAGTTTTCTGTTTATGCTACACAGTTCTGTGTTGACTTTATCATCCAATCATCGTTTCTGAATAGACCTTTACCTTGTGTGATTTCATTTGTGTTGGTAAGAGTGTTATTTTCTTGTTTCTTGGTGCCCTTTTTCTCTTTTTGTTTGTGTGTGCATTCTGCAGGTGTTTACAGAGAGTGCTACGAGGAACGGTCAACCCTACACTCCCCATAGGCCGGGCCGTTTGTGTGGTCCGTTCGTTCTATAAAGCGGCCCGTAATATCCACACAACACTTGCTGCATGAGAGAGCGTGCGTTTTCCATATTGTAGCAGCAATTGCGGGTTATGGCCTAACCGCTTGAGAGAGTGCTTCCTATTTAAAACAGTTTAACGGGGACAAGGCCTAGCCTCATGGGTGCTTCACCCCTATATGTGGCCCTGACGAGGATATAGGCCTTAGCCGCAAGCGGGAGGGGCCCTTACTGGGATCAGTGCCTCCTGCTCAACAGTCATGCTCAGGAGCCAACTGATGCGGCTAGATCGAGCCCACGTGTTCATGCCTGAGCTCTGATCACTGACAGAATGAGGGCAAGGCCAAGCCACACAAGAGAGTGCTCCATTTCCAAAGCGGCTCAGACGAGGACTCCGGCCTTAACCACGACACTCATTTCCATGGTAGTCAGACTCCCATGGGGAATTTTCTGACTTATAATTTCTATTTCTCCGCTCCCAACAGACCGCCTAGTGAACTGAGCCAGCGCTTCCTACGACCGTCGAAGACCCAACGAGTCGACTGACAGAACACCCGTGGCTCACAAAAGCCAGCGGACCAACAGGCTCCTCTTCCCCCGCCACCCACAAGGGCTTCCGGCTGCTGTAGCTCTGCTACACGCAAGGCCGCATCCTTGGTAATGCCGGCCAACCCGACACCTAACCAGCCTCATACCGACGACATCAGGGTGGGCTCCCCGCGCTCCACCGGGTCAGGACCGCCTGATGGTTCTCGCCAAGCAAGAACTTGCTGGGCACCGCGGAACCCACGGGACTACTTTGCCGACGTGGCTTCATTCCTCCGCAACCCATCCGCGGCTCTGGCTTCCGGCTCGGCATTCCCGGTAATTTGGGGCCCTTCTCGGCTGGCCCGCCATCCCAAGAAGATGGCGTCCAACTCCCGTCTGCCCTCTGGGGGATCAGCCTTCGACTTTACCTGCTGCATCGACTGCTGAATCTCCCCCTCGTTCCAGACCAGAAAGCAAGTGCTCTTCTTCCCATTCAGCGGTTGCTTCGACGACCAAGAAGAGACATCATCCTAAACAATGCAAACGCTCCCCCTGAGCTATGGATGACAGTGCTCCAGTCCATCAATGAATCTCTGTCCTCCTTAGTTCGCTGCCTGAGCGACAGACCCATGCCAGTTTTCACCGCTCCAGACCCAGGCCTTTCGCCCCCGGCTCCCGCAACCTCAACCCGCTCCGTGGTTATGGACAACTACTTGGAGCGTGGTACTCACCGAAGCCTGGGCCAAGGTGGTGTCCCCTTCCGGAACCTTCAGTCACATACGGGAGCACCCATGGATCTGACCCTGGAATGGCTGCACCTCACTCTGAGCAACAGACACCATCGTCAGGAGAAGACGACGCCGACTCGACGGGCGACTACACCCCTTCTGAATGCCGGCTTCATCTCCTGCAGCGTGATATGATCCAAGTCCTGGGCCTTCCAGCTCCCGCTCCCCCCGAGAGGGGCACTGGCTGTGCCCCCTTCAAGCGCCACGCGACCAGGTTGGAGTCTTCGGGTCCAACTTTCTCAGAGATATCCCGCTTGACCGCTCTTGCACCGAGATCTTCGATTCAATCAGCAAGGCCACACGCTGGTGCCCTTGTCCTCCTAGGGCCCTGGCTTATTACCACTTCCCGAGGGAGGACTACGATAACTTCTTATCGGTGCCGGAAATTCCAGATGCAGTTTGGGACAAAATCATCACTGACTCGGGCAAGGCTCCTCAAAAGTCGATCTTCCGCAATAGTGACAAGTCCCGCCTCGATTACCACTTCCTGAGGGAGCACTACGATAACTTCTCATCGGTACCGTAAATTCCAGACACAGCGCGGAGCAAAATCATCTCCGACTTGGGCAAGGCTTCTTGCCTTAGCCTTCGCTGTTCAGCCTTCCTCCTCCTCTCGGAATACATCGCATGTGCATGCGAGGAGAATTCACCATTGTGCCCAGACTTTGCGGCTCTGGCACTCCGGGGCCTAGATGAGGGCTTGGCCCTCACCTTCGAGCAATTCACTCAGATCTCCTGCCTGGCTTCCTCCACCTGCAGAGCTAATGCCTTGGAGGCGATGCATATCCCTTTGTGAAGGTGTGAAGTCTAGACTTCAAGGTCTCCCACTTTCTGGCAAGGATCTCTTCGCCGGCAAGTTTCTGGAATCTCTTTAGGCCGACTGAACAGCAGAACAAAGGGTTTGCTGCAAGTGTTATCGTCACCGATAAGTTATTTTCCTTGTAGTTTTAGTGTAATGTAATTTGCATAGTACAGTACATGTATGTCTAGTCCAGCTGGGTTTAACTTTTTTGAATTCTTGCCTTTGAAGATTCTTTTTATGACTGGGTTAAATTTGCATACGATGTCAGGCCACACGGTTCTTACCTTCTTTATGTATTATTAATTGGTATGTAATTTGCAATGCATATTAAGTCATCATTAAATATCATTCGGCCAATCACGTTGCACTATTCCTGTACCATGTGAACGTACTGAGTATATCATTTCGGGAAGTTCCAATTGAGGTCAGTCTATGGGCGTATCAACTGTACGGAATTGCATGTGTGTTTGTGCATGTATAAGTTGTGATATGTCATTTGTGACGTTTATTTTCTTATAGTTGCTCGGTTTATTTTTGTATTTTTGGCACCGGAATGTCGCTGTAAACCCTGAAACCTCCTGCTGGCCCATTTATTTCAGTATCCATCTTGAATACCATTCACTGTGTGTATTCCAGGGGGTGTTGATGCCGCAAACGATTTCTAAGTGTGTAATTGAAGCATATGTTGTAATGATACATATAATGATGTGTGTACAACTGACGGAGCGATTAATTTATTGGATATTAAAGATGTTGTAAATTCATTTGAAAGTACAACTGCTGGCAACAAAATCAGTTTTTAGTAAAGCGGCAAAATTCCTGAATTTTTGATAGAAGATGGTACGTATGGTTAATGTGTAGTTTGGACTTACACGTAATTATAATTGGGGTTTAATTTTTTATACTTATTATTAATGTCTAATCTATTTAAATGTATCAATGTTTATTTCAGTTTCACCGATTCCTCATGGAATTGTTATTAAACTAATGGATTGGCATCTTGCGTCACCGTTTCTCATTCTCTGGTGTTTCCACGTGCCCGTCATTGACAGCAAGTTTTGTGGTCAATGCAGACACAGGAGACACCATTCGTAGGGAAGTAGGAAACAGCCTCAACTTTGAATTGGTGAAAAAAATGTAAGAAAAATGCATCCAGGATACCATTGATATACAAATGCCCTCAAAATTGTGAGGCTCTTGTTGTACCCAAAATTTACCCACAAATCTGGGAAAACATCAACTCCAGGTCACACAATCTGAGCTCCGAAGAGTCCAAAAGTCTATTTTTAATTTTGTGTAGTCTTCATTTTTAATTCTTGTGATTATCTTCAATTTTTTTAACCATCGTGTTTTATACGATGTGTGAAGGAATCTGTTGGCGTTTTCTGTTTCTGTATGTGTGACTTTTGTGCCAACTTGTCTTCTTCAAGAAGATTTTTGATCAACTTTTTAGCACCCTTTGAGCATATCATGTTGGCTAAAATTTGGACAGGACTTCTGCTTTTCATATATGCCTCCCAGCATATGTGAGTACTTCATCGAATCAAGCTTTATTGCTTGTGAACAGAGTGACCATTGCTGACAAGTTTTCAAGCTTTTCTCTACCCTGGGTTGTTACACCTCTACTGATGAACGTACGGGTAGGCGTTCACGTTGAAATGAAATCTAACTTTCGTCATAAAATTTTTCTTGGGAGGTGGAATGAACATGTCTATACATCTTTACAACTAGCTGGGCTAAACCCTCCTTTAGATCTCACAGTTTGTGTCGGCATTTCTCTAAACCCTGGACCGGAAGTATCAGTGAAGTTGAACACAAACCGGAGCTAATATCATGCAATTCAAAGAATACGAAACAGATAAAGAATTCACTGCATCAACTGTTCCCTTATTGTTGTGGTCACCCTGATCATCACATTTTTGGAATACTTAAGAAGAATGGCCTCTTAAGATACAGGGGAAAGAGAGCTGGTCGCCATGCCTGTACAACTTATGTCCTAGGCATCAGCATTACCCAATTGCTACCTTAAAGGAAACCCGTCGATTGAATACTAAGCCCATTTCTCGTCCAATCGACAGATCTCTGTTAGTTAACATCAAAACAGTACAAGTCCTACCTTCAACTTCGGGGCCACTTTATGATAACCCAGATACTCGAACTACCAGAAGTCCTGAACTTAATGACCAACCTGGAAAACATTTGATGGCCTTGACATCATTGGACGTTAGGTATATTAAAGGTATCAAGATTTTACATTTGAATACTAGATCTTTGTACATCAAACTTGATGAGATACGCTTGCTTGTAGTGGAAAGCAATCCTGACATTCTGCGAATCTCCGAAACATGGCTGCATGATGGGATTGATGACTCGGAGATACACATACCGAGTTTTACTTTACTACGGAAGGATAGAGGAGACGGCCATGGTGGTGTGGCACTAGACATGTATGTCAACAACAGATTGACTGTAGACCTAATTAATGTGCCAGATTATCAGCATACCAAAGTTGAAAGCTTATGGGTTAAGCTGAGTCTACCGCATACTTGTCCTATTCACACCGGAATTGTCTATGGGCCAAATGTCTGTAACCAGGTTTTTTGAGGAACTGGAGGTTGTGCTGGACGAGATTATGGAATGCTGTGCAGAATCAAGATCGCATGGAGAAATTGTTTGCGTTGGGGACTTCAATTGTGATGCTCTCAAACACTTTGACTGGCAGTGGAAAAAGCTTAACGAGCTAATGTCAGCAAGGCATTTATCGCAGATCATCTCGAAACTTACCAGGGTTACTGATAATTCAGAAACACTGATTGATCATGTCTGGACCACCCATCCGGATATGTACACATATAATGGTGTGTTAGCGTCAGTTATTAGCCACCACTCACTAATTTATGCTATTCGCAAAGCACTGACACTTCTAAGGGTCCCGCTCGTATTATTAGGTGTAGGTCCTATCGGTCATTTGATGAAATGGACTTTACTAATGATCTGGGATTAATCTCTCGGGCAGATGTTCGAAATGCTGGAAGTCCTGGCGTAGCATGGACATCTTTTGAGGAAACTCTTGGCAAAGTCTGTGCAAAACATGCTCCTTTTAAACAATTTAAAATCCCTAATAGGGGTCCCAACTGGTTCAATGATGAGTATCTTGTCTTAAGAAAACGGTTAGTGCAAATCAGATGTCGTGCCTAGTTTACAAGTTCTTGAACTGATTGGGCTGCTTTCCGTCAGATGAGAAACAGGGTTAATAATCTAGCTCAAAAGCTGAAGTGTGAAGTTTATGAGACGACAATCAACAATGCACCCTCTGAATTAAAAAAAACTTTGGAAGGTAATAAAACCCTTATGCCCTCAAATAAAAATAAAAATGTTACCGAAAAATACAACTCTCATGGGCAGCCAAAAATGTAATACGGTGGTAAATAGAACATATTGATACTGCCTTTTCCAAAATCATGGGGTGGGAGAGCACGTGATTTCAAAATCAAGAAATGTAGGAGTTTTCAAGATGAGACAAAATGGATACTGAACCCAGAAGTTTTCCAGATACTTTCCAAAGAATGTGAACCTGATATTAATGCACAGGCGCTGCAGCAGGCACGTGCACCTGGTGAGTCTGCACCTAGGTGTTGCCATAAACTGCGCAGGCATATCGCCTGCTCAAATGGCGCCCATGGTAATTAAACCCTTTAGGCAGAGTTATTCATCTTGCGCCTTCGGTGCTATACGATCTTTGCTGTTGGTTATCAACAATTGATGAACCATCGAGGGTGCTGTCAAATTGCCACTCAGTGATTTTTAAAGTCTAAGTTGACTTCGTGTTGATGTGGAACATTTTTCTTCCCGTCATAGTTGAAAGCTCCTACTTTGAATGTTGACATCAGTTGAACTTACTTGTAAGAGAGGTTTACATGAATAAACAGATATTCCTGTGTTTCTGCATCGTGTGGACATCGTTTGTTCACAAGTCCTCACTAGCACATACCTGTTTTACATACAAAGTGTGGACGTTTCTTTATTCTCCTGTGGTTTAAGGAAACTTGAGGAAAATGCTCCTTTTTTGTCCAACTTGATGACTTCCTGGACTGTTCTTCATTTTGCCATGGATAACCTTGATTCCAAATACCGGTGAAACTTTTCCAGAGAGGGGAAAACATTGTGTGGACATGTGCGAGTCCACACAATGCCATCATACGTACATATACATGTATGTGGACTTCTTTTGCGCAGAGGTCCATACTATGTATGCTCACACACATATAACCTTTTTAACATACTAGACATCAGAGCCACTTTTTGAGTTACAGGCCTTTTTAAGATTCTTACAGTGTTAAAATCATAAGGAACTCTCAACACTTTCATCTACAACAATGTCCATTTTTATCAGGTACCAAAATCAAAACAAAAAGATTTGCTAGCTCTTTCTAGTGCAAACGTAAACACAATCAGATGGCTATGACTTATTTCACATTGGTTCGCATTTAAGAATGAATAAAATGTACATGTATATTTTATGTTTGGACTTTGCACTTATCGTGCTATGTGTTTGATCACAGGGTATTGATCTATGTTGGTGCAAACAGCCAGAAGTCGGCCTCCCAAAACCAGACCTCGTGTTCTTTCTAGACATCAGAGCGGGAGATGCTGAGAATAGGGCAAATTTTGGAGAAGAACGTTATGAAAGTGCCCTCTTCCAGAGCAAAGTGAAGGACATCTTCTATCAATTAAAAGATAGCAGTTGGAAGGTTAGTCAGCATTTTTTTCAGAATTGTATAGTGTGTACATACATGTACATGTATGTAAAATACAGAGTCACTGCAAACAATTTGCTCATGCATTGTGAAATACTGCGCAGCGCATTCTTCCTTCACGTTGTTGCTTTGTAGTCAGCTCCCCTGTGACCTGTACACAACAATCTGTACGGGACAAGTATTGGTACGAGAACAAGATCTCGTTGGAAGTCTGCGCACCCTGCGAGGTCCGTGTTGTTGCAAAGTAAAATTTTGCTCGCACTTTTTTCCCCCCGTCGCAGTAATTGTTGGCTTCAAATCCCCGTGACTATGGCAAAATCAGGTTTCCTACTCGAGGTCGCCAAGTATCACCAGTATAAGTAACAGTATCACCCACACTGCAGAGCTTGACACATTTGCTTTTATATATTCACTTGTCAGCGTATGGGGTAAAGTAGGCAGTGAATTAAGGTCAAATCAGACAACATTAAATAAACTTTAGTGCAATTATTTTCAGAAAAACGCGACATTTACAGCTAAAGGAAATAATGACTAAAGAAATAAATTCCTGTATAGGCCTACGGTTTAAAATGAATTCAACAATAATTAAATGAGTCAGAAACATCTGGATAGCGCAGTGTTAAAAATTCATCACAGTAGAAAGTAACATTTTTAATACCTACATTATGCGGAAAGCTTCTCCCACTATACTTTGGAAGGCCAGTGAAGTTCTACAATAAAACTTTTTTTCCTCCCCATTATTAAATATATTTTCCGACCCGTATCATTCTCTCAAAGCGCATGGGAAAAATTATGTCAATCTAAAACTCAATAAAGTATAAGAAAGTGGTTTTCGACAGCATCAAAGCGAAAGAAACATGGGCTTCAAGAAAAAAAAGAGGGCTACCGACAAAGTATGAATGGACGCTAAAGAAGTCAAAAGAATGTTTGAGAAGCCCGCATGAACTGCCCAGAAATACCTGTGGTTTATGAACTAAAAGAGCTTCCAACATATTGGCCACAAAGAGATTGGAGCAGCAGTTAGTCCACGAACCTTGCGGAGTCGCTAGTGTTGACTCAGCAGACCTGGAAAATTAGCATAACAAAGCCTTTTGTTAGGTGACGATCGGTTGCCAAGGTGCACATTTTGTCCGTGAGCTACGCGGAGTTTACAGACGGTCAATTTTGACAAGAACCCTAAGGGTGGGAATTGACATTTAATTTTAAAAATGTTTAGAAAACTTCCCCACACCGTTTAAATATGTAAATGTCCCACACTTAGGGAGCTTGTCCAAAAGGTTGAACCGCGGTTTGAACGCAGACACCACTGTTTTCACAGGTCCTTACCAACCAGCCGACTGTCCACTGCCCGTGCTAATTTACCCTATCAAAGGAACTGACTAACAAAGCCCCCTATTGTTATTTAAATTTTACACCGGGTCCACCTAGCAGAATCCGGCTGCGGTCGGTTCCTCGGATGCTTTGGAGAGCCACGGTCACCGTGTCTATTTTAATTTACTGGAATCCAGTCCCCTATAGCCCTTAATTGTTTCACAAGAGTGATGTTCAGTTGACTTGTAGTCCTTGAGGTCCTTCTTTACACGTTGCACTTTTGTACCTCAGAGTTTGTCAGTGCGTGATTGGCTACCTAAATTCATGCACTTTGAAATAGTTGGCACTGACCAAACCCTTTCACTGCTGTAATTACAGCGTCAGTTGTCATCATTCAGAGGCCCACTTTAAAATTCCCAACAACTTCCAGTATTCCGATAGGAGCTTTCTATCCAACCTCAAAGAAATGCTTTGTATAAATGTTTGAGGAGAGCCACCGCCAATTTGAATAAAATCTGGTACACTGAGTTCTTTTAATTCACGTGAACATAACTTGAATTCTCCATACTAAAACCACTGTTGCTATACCCAAGCTTTTGCTTAGTTACATTGGAGACGCCTTGCAACAATACACTGTTCTCAATGGATAAGAACGGCACAAAGGGACCAGTCCATTCCAGAGTTGGTGGTCACGATGCAAAAGCTTGCCCCGAATCACGAGGTATAGCAACAGTGTCTTTAGTCTGAGGAATTCAAATTGTTACGTTCCTGTGCAATCAGATAACACAGTGTACCGGATATTATTCAAATTTAACTCGCAAGTGGCTTATTCTTGGAACCCGTCGGAGAAGTACACACACTGTTTAGAAAGGGGATCTTTTTTTCTTTGCTCATTGGATAATTTTTTTACTTTTGTTCTGGTTGAAAAGGGCCCTCGGCCGTTAAAAATTAAATGCCCCAACTGGAATTCTTTTTTGTCTAAGAAAATGATAATTGTTGGTCATTTTTTGCAGAATTTTTCAGGTAGCAGGGGGTAAGTTGATTGTTTTCAATCTGAAAACAAAGACTGAGCATTTATTTCAGAAATGTTGCATGTCGTAGCACCTCAAATAAGCATTTTTCCCCCCAATGCTTAATGACAGCAAACCCGTTTTCTGCTTTAGATTTTTTGTGATCAAAGCACATTCAAAAGTTTGCTGTCCTTCTGAGTTCGCCCGCCCGCGCTGTGAACAGGTTTTGCGGTTTATACGCTGCCAAGTGTTTTCATGGTTCAATGCTGGAGGTATTCAAGTAAAAAGACAAGGTCATGCTTATGATGGGTTTTATATCACAGCGGCTGGGACTCCATCCTTGCCACTTGATTTCATATTGCCAACTGATACTTAGTCTTCATAATGGTTTTAGTAATAAGCCCACGATCAGTAAAGCAGTTCAGTTATCAACAAGCATAAGTGTATGGTTTTGCCTTAAAAATAGGGATTTTTCATTCTAAAAGCAGTTTTTGGGGGTAGGCATGTTTTTCTATTATAGCAATAGACACTGGAATTAAACCGTCCAAAAGTGGACATAAGTTGGCATGATGAAAGTCCTAAGCATAAAGCACTAAGGCAGAAATCCCAAGCGAAATGAACTTAGGGTAGTCCTGCACTAAAGGAACTGTATCCTGAAGTCATGGACACTGCACGCTCCTTCATTGAGAGCAACACGTTTAAGGCTCATAGAAGATGGCAGGAAGATACTGGCACTTGTGGTACTACCTTGAAGGAAGTGAAGTAACACCTGCTTCAAACCATCCCAAACCTGCAAAATGAAAGGCCAAATATAGGTATGTGAACACTCACAGGTCAACTTGTACCCATACTAACTCGCACCACTAGGTCTAAAAGTTGATTTACATATAAAATCTATTTGAATTGGATACCTCCTTGTCCTATCGGGATATCTCAGGATGAAGCCGTCCACTCAGATGACCAAAGATCACCTTGGAAGAGACCAGTTTGTGTAAGTAGAACTGGTTACACTTCTTAGCGTCAACCTGTGTGTACACACATAATTGGGCCTGTCAACAAAGCGTCAAAAAAAAAAACGCTTTCATTTATTGAAATTATTCCATCAACTTAAGATCCAAGAATATGCCAATATAGTGTCAGAAAACTTGCTAATTTACTTCCTGATTCTTGCAGTTACTGGTTTTCATCTTTCTTGTCGCTTTTTCAATGGAAGAACAATATGACAGCTGGTAAGGCTGCGCTAGGAGTGGTAGTGACTTAAAGTTAAATTTAAATTTAAAAAACCAGACTATATTGTACGATTTCATTCCGATGCCCCAAAATCACCTGGTACCATTCCATACCGAGTTTAAAATTTACACTGCTGCAAATATCACACAAGGGTGTTGCAACACGGACGTATATAAAAAACCTGGACTTGCAATGCCTTTGTATGAAAAAGAAGCCAACCAATGGCCATTTTATGGAGCCGAATACAAAAGCATGGGTTGGCTCCCTTCTTTTGACGTCAGGAAGAACAAAGGCAGGCATTGCCAGGAAAGCTTTGTATTTGGCTCGGTAAAATGGCCGCGAGTGGATTCAATGACTCTATAAGCTGATTAAGGGCATTGCGACTCCAGATTTTATTATACACTTCCGTGCATTGCAGGTCCAGATTTTTTTTTATATGTATACAGTACATATACATCCATGACCAGTTCCCATAGGAAAGCATACATGTACACAAACTTTAAGCCATGGCTTCCCAATAGGCACACTCCATTTGGCTCCGTTTCAGGCTTCAACTGTTTCTTAACTGCGTGACTTTGAGGTAAGCGCAATAGTAAGTCTGATAATGGCACAAAACATCAAGTAGGATGTAAAAGAACCAAACAATACAGTACTTCAATTTAATTTAAACATTTTAGGCCTACAATCGGGTATTGGTTTTGGAAACGCAGCCTGAGTCGGAGACAAAGTTGAATATGGGGGGGTTTGGTATCCCGAATTGTAGGGGCTGGCCAGCAGCTACCTTGATTGATGCACCAATTCACGCAGCAAATGCATCGCACCGAGACATTTCTCCTAAGTTTAATTAGGATCGTGGCTATAACCCAGCAAGCATGGCAAACATTAAAATCAAATAAAAATTTTTAAAAACCTTGTAATCTTTTTATCCTAATTCTTGTCTACTTTGTTGTGTTTCCTTGTTCTTTTAGACTTCCAAAAAATGATCAGGCGACCGTCGTTCTTCAGAGCCCTCACTCACCGTGCACGATTGCAACGCACATCGACGATATCTTAGGGGAGCTCAACTTGGCCGTAGATGTATCAGCTGGTAGATCGTTGATGGTGATGATCGCTGATGGTGGGGCTGACTTCAATGTAAATCACACCGTCAATGAAATCTACTACGCCTGCCTTTTCCGAAATGCTGGGCTTGATGCTTTGGTGGTGACATCATAATGCCCTGGACATTCAGCAAAAAACCCATTCGAACGAGTCTGGGCACCGTGCACCAAAGCGTTAACGTCTGTCCGTCTGCCTGCATGCGTAGATGGTGAGACCAGCCCCCCGTGCTCAAAGGCATCTCTCAAAAGACGAAAGGGAAGAACGGGAACATCGTGTTTTCAACAGCACCATGAGCCTCATTAAGGACATGTACTGGGCAGGGATCACTCTTGCCTGTAAAACAATCAGGACAGTTGTGCGTGACAGTGGGTCTGCAGAGCAACCATACAGTCATGACAACTACCTCAAGACTCATAAGGCTGTATCGGGGTCTGCCAAGAAGTTGTTGGAAGATGCTAGAAGCCGCAAGGACTACTTATTCACGATGAAGCACAGCGACACAAGAATAGGGATGTGCATATACATGTATACAAAGTGCAGCAACGCTACATGCACTCACTGCGCAGCCAACCCTCCCCGCAAAGAGTCTTGAGAAATGCTTGAATGTGTTCGTAGGTTCCCCTCCCCCAAACCATCCATGGACAACCCAGGACATTTCATGACTTTCGCCGAGGCCCTAAACTCCAGCCATGCACCAGCATGTGACCACCTTCCCATATTCCAGCAAAAGGGACTAGGTACATGTACAGTAGGTGCCTTGAATCTAACTGCAAGTATGTTTTCACAAGCAAGAAAGACATCGGCGACCATAGAGCAAAGGTTCATGGCAGGTATTCAACATAGAAGTACATGTACATGTCAACAATATCTGTTGGGGTCCCATATTGTATTTTAGGTGAATTTTGCAATGGGAATATTTTGAAACAGGAATATTTATACATTATCGAGGTTTGTGTAGGTACATGTACAGTATACTGTAATGTATGCGCGTCATTCCCGCCTACTGGGTCTAAACAAGATAGCATGTATTTCTCAGGGTAGACGAAAGTAGATACGATGGAAACATTTATCATATTTTAAACATCCAAGTTTATTTAAAACCTTCAACATGTATATGTACACTCGTATGTCAGGCCCGTCCAGCTCACAGTTTGTAGTGTCTCATCCTTTACAGATTATTAGCTGTTATGATTGTAATAACAAAACTCACCTTTCAGTTTATTCTGTGTTGTACTCCTAAGATAGGCGTAGACCATGAAAACGATAGTCGGAAGCACAAGTGCGTATAATAGTTATTTTTAATGCTCTGCCATTTTTGCGATTAGTCCAGTATCTGTATATATACAAGCTCAGTTTTGTTTTGAGCATGAGACGTAAGGCATTAAAATAAAGTTGGTCTGATATTTAAGAAACGTATTCCATCCAACATACAACCTCCACGTTCCATATAAGGCAAATGAGGTCATTAAGTTGTCAAACAGAACAAGTTTTGAATGGATGCTGCGTTCTATATACTCGCAGCTGGCCGGCCAAAGCGAGTTGACACGCAACGGGACGGAAGCTGCACGGCATCGCAGTGCTAACGGATTGCTTGCACAATATGGCCGGGCCAGGTCAGTGCTTTACACGAAGGCATTATCAGTCTTACAGAATTTGATCGTTTGTGTAGTAGGTAGGTATGCGTAGATATACATGTACATATATAGGACCCTTTGGCTTTTGCTGCAGTATGATTTAGTATTTGAAATGGATTTTTTTATTCCTGCATTTTTCTGAAAATAATGAATTTTTTTGAAATAATGAACTTTTTCGGCTGGGTGTTTTGGACAATGCGGGCAGTGGATGCAAATCTAAAATTTTCATTCTCATGGCTTAAGTTGGTGCTCGGATTTTTGCTATAACGTTAAAAGAAGGTAAAAAAAAAGTTACATTGCCTAAAATGGGTATTCAAGTCGGAAAGAATGTATTTTTTAAAGTAGGAAAGAGGTATCCCTCACCACTTCCACTACCTGACGGGAACCAAAGTGCACACAATTGAAATGGGGGCTTCATAGTCGATCAGACAGCAAAGCCAAAGCAAAAAAAATAATCACATTGGATATCTGTAAACTTCTGGTCAGCGGATACAAGACTTCTCTCTCATCATTTTCAATTTCTGACTCCGGAAGGTCAGCAGGTCTGAGTACCACCTTAAAAACTCTTGCCCGTTAAATGCAGGCCGATTTTTTTACTTTGTATTTCATTGAAGCTTTCTCAAACATTTCGTCTGCCACAAAACCTATATTTTAAAAGGGCAGGAGTTATTCATGTCTTTCCCATGAAACTTTTGAACTGTGCATCATTTTGCGGAAAAGTTTTACCTTGAGATACACCTGCAAAAGAAATGGAAAAGTGTGGTTAAAAAACGTTTCACAGATTTACAAGTGTTCTGTATCCATAGGAAATCAAACCGTGAGCGCCGATATGTAAGTTTATCGGATACTTCTTGTAGGGTCGATCAGTGTGTGTTCACACACCGTGACCGTGCTAATATATTGCTGCCTACCAGACACGCTTGAAGCATGGGGCGTGTTGTGCAAGTGAAAGAACGGTGAGATTAAAGAACAATAGGGCGTTCCATCCCATTCTCACACGTGAGAACAGGAAGAATGTTTTTGGTCTTGTCCCTAACTGTTTTATGTGTCTTCGGTAAAGGATGTAAGTTTCTGAAGAGTAAAAGAGGCAAGTCAGAACCACTGCTTTGTAAACTGTGCACTTGGTAGCCAAGCTGATGCCGTGTTTTTTCCAGAGGAGGCAGTGACTGCGCCAATACACTAGTCAACTTCTTTGTCAAGGCTGTTGTCACTTGAGACTGTGCTGTCAAGATATATGTAGATGAAGTGCTTGACTGCATTCAAGCGGCTGCCATTCAGCTTTACGGTGGGTTCAGGGGCTTCTGAGTTGCAGGCATGACTTCTGTCATGCAGCTGTCCAGCATTCTCTGCAGGTCATCTTCTGAGTGGGACACCATGGCAGTGTCATTGGAATAGAGGAGGCAATAGGCATTGAACAGCTTTCCATCTGAGCGGGGGTCAGATACACACCCCCATTTGCTGGGCAGTACTGCTTTAAGGCACAGTGAGAACAGTGAGGGGCAAGGACACATCCTTGTTAATGTTTTGCAAATTGGTTCACAGTGAAGCACTCAGAGGGGATGCATTGAGAGACAGTTGAGCCTTCATTCCAATGTGAAGGTTAGAGATGAGCCTGACAATGCTATCAGGGCAGCCATATCGTCTGAAGAGTGACCATAGACATTCCCTGTTGACGTTGTCAACAGCTTTAGTAAAGTCTATAAACGCTATGAAGAGGGGCATTTTCTGTTCGATGGCCTTTTCCTGTTGTTTCATAGTAAAGATCATGTCAGTGGTTGACCTGGAGCTACGAAAGCCACATTGAGATTCAGGGATCATGGTTTCTAGCACAGGTTGAAGGTGTTTTAGAATGACCTTCCCCAAGACCTTACCAGACAAGAGGGATATTCCCCAACACAACAGATTACTGTATGCATCCCTCAGTAGAAGAGGGAACATGACTTCTTCTTGTATTGTCAAACAAAAATGCCTGTATTGTCAAATAAAATAATCATGTATTTACCGTGCAAAGAACTGGAAAAGAAAGATTAATGAATGAATATGGATGCAAAGTGTTGCGTAACTACTGAGAGCTTAACAGGGGA